CCTGCCCGGCCCTCAGCTCTGCCAGGAGGAAGTGGGGCTCAGAAGTGTCCAACATCCCGACCCCACTCCCAGCTGCCACCCATCATCCTCTGCCTCGACACCAGGGATTCCAGGCTCAGCCACACATATGCTGGGACAGTGAAGCTGAACCCAGAGGGTCCCTGAAACACTCTTGGGGACCTTGGGCCGCCTCCACATTCACAGGGGACTGGGAGGGGGCTGGAGAAGGAAAGGGAGAGGCGGGTTGATTAATGGGACATTCCTCTCAGTGCCTGAGGGCAGCAGCCAGGGAGAAGAATGGTTGTCAAGAGCAACACATTCTTCTCTTTGGGTAACTGGTTTGTCACCCACAGGGAGTGGAGTTTGAGCAGAAAAGGAACATTAAGGACGGTCTGGGTTGAATGCTCATTTTACAGAGGAGAAACTGAGGCCAGGGGAGTCAGGCAGGGCTTCCCTGTGGGGGGCACTGATGGCAAATGAGGCTCCTGTCTGGTTCCCTGGGCTCTGTCCCCAGGAGTCAGGGACATACAGGCTGGGACAAGGAAGAGGCTGGAAGGGGAGGTGTGAGGGCTAGGTAGGCTGCAGCAACTTCCAGCTTCTCTAACTCCTGGGGAGCCCCAGGCATCCCAGCACCGGGAACCAGCAGGAGCAGACCAGGGCCAGGGCCAGGGCCAGGGAGCGGGCAGGCAAGTCCATCACCTCGGGCCATGTCTGGTTCCACGTGCTGGTATTCGGTTCCTTCTACCTGGAAAGCCCTTGCCCTCATTGCCTGTTGGCTCCCAGTTAGACGAAGTCTCCAACACCAGCACCCAGCCTGTGCACTCCACCTCTGTGGATGCCTGGGATCTCAGCATAATGGAGGGTGTGTTGATCACAACAAAACGCTGCAGACTGGGCGGCTTAAACACCACTGTTTCCTCGGCATTCTGGAGGCCGCAAGTCCCAGGTGGAGGTCTCAGCACAGCTGGGTCCTCCTGGGCCATCCTGTGTTTCCCCTGTGCACGCGTGTCCCAGGGTCCCGGTGTCCTGATCTCTTCTAAGGATGCCAGGCAGCCAGGTGTGCATTTTAACTTTACCACCTCTCCTAAAGGTCCATCCCTGTGCAGTCACAGCTGAGGTGCAGCGCAGGAGTCTGGAGGGGACATGGCTCAGTGTGTAACCAAGGGTGAGCCTCCCCTCCCGCTAAGAGAGCAGGGGCAGGGCCTGGGCCTGAGGCCCTGGGCTGGGTCCCCGGCCTGTGTCCCGCTCAGCAGTGGGTGGGGGGTGGGGGCTCAGAGTGAGCAGTGAGATCCCCCTGCTCCTGGGTCCTGCTGTCCCCTGGAGAAGGTGGCACCGCCTGTGTTCCACTGAGGCTGTGTAGCTTCCAGGCTGCGGCTCCAGGGAGGCAGTGGGCTGTGCTGTCAGGGCCACTCTGCCCTCCAGCTCTGTCCCATGAGCTCTGCAGAGTAGCCCATCTCCCCAGCAGGGGGCTCTAAGGTAACAGCAATGCACAGTTAAGGTGACAGTTTTGTCCTCTGAAATAACAAAAAGCATCTCAAAGAGCCAGGCATGGTGGCACATGCCTGTATACCAGCACTCTGGGAGGCTGAGGCAGGAGAATCACAGGTTTGATCCCAGTCCGGGCAGCACCCATGGGCCTGAGACCTTCCTCCCATGACAGATTCCAGTGTGCACAATTTCCCAGCCTTCCTTGCAGCCAGGTGCCCCTTTAGTCACTACACCCATGGCAGACTGCTACAATCTAGATGGTGAATGTCCCTGGAGGGACACACAATGAAGGCCTGGTCCCCAGGGTGGCACTACTGGGAAAGAGTAGAACTTTTAGGAGGTGGAGCTGAGGTCACTAGGGGGTACACCCTTGACTTTTAGGAGGTGGAGCTGAGGTCACTAGGGGGTACACCCTTGACCGGGACTGTGGGGCCCCTGTCCACCCCACCCCCGGCCTTTTGGTGGTATTAGGAATTGAACCCAGGCCCTTTATCACCCACCCTTTTTATTTTGAGACAGAATCTTGCTAAGTCACTGAGTTCCCCTGGCTGGGCTTGAACTTGTGATCCTCCTGCCTCAGCCTCCCAGAGTGCTGAGATTACCAGCACGCACCATGATGCCCGAGGCCTCAGCTTCCTGGCTCATGTGTGAGTGGCTCTGCTCTGCACATGCTCCCACTGTGATGCTCTGTCTCACAAAAGCGAAAAGCAATGAGGTTGACATATCACGGCCTGGACCCTCCCTAGCCTCTTCACCTTTCTCTCTATAAGTTAACTGCTCAGCTGTTTCATTATAGTGACACGAAGGTGTCTAACACAGACCAGAGACTGACCTGCCAGAGGGTCCATTGGCCAGGACAGGAGCCACCATGCCCAGCTCCCAGAGGTGTCTGGGCCAGCAGCCCCCATAGTGGGACTCAGGCCATGCAGTCTTGCTGCAAGCTGGGGTCTTAGGAGTGGTATCCGAGCTCCCCAACCTCCTTGAAATCCAACCATGGAGTCGGTTCTTGCTGTTCACAGCTGAGAACACTCAGTGTGGGGATTCCTGGGGGCTTGGAGGCTGCACCTCCCTCACAGTTGTCCTGTCGAAACCAACACCACCATACTGGACACTGGAATGCAGCTCCACCCAGTTACAAACGATTAAGAAATGCACCAGAATGGAGAGGAAAGGGCGTGAAGAGTAAAGCTAAGGACAGGTGGAAGATGGGACTGTTGCCTCTTCCCCACTAGATTACGCTCAGGGGAAGAGCCAGCCAGAAAGTATTATCTACTTGGGGCTGGCCCTATGCAGACTCTGCGGTGCCCTGGTGGGCAAAACCAGACGTGGTTGGTCTCTGCCCTCTTGGACTTTTCAGTGTAGTTGGGGAGATGCAAAAACTCATGATTCCAGGGATCAGGGTAGTAGCTAGCTCAGTGGTAGAGTGTGTGCTTAGCATGCATGAGGCTGGGCTCAGTTTTAAATGTCCAACTTCAGAAAAAAATCACACTGGAAAGGGAAAGTACAGGGCTTTAGGAGAGCTGAGGGTCGCTGGAGCTGAGGAATGGACTACAGGACACAGAGCCAAGTGGAGGAGGGTCATAGAGATGGGAAAGCATGTGCCAAGGGCCTGTTGTGTGAACGGCTAATCAAGGATCTGGGGGCTGGAATACAGGAAGGGTTGGATCATGGGCCCTTGAAACCCAGATGGAGAATCTAGATTCTGTTTTTTTGGGATTTTTTGGTACCGGGATCGAACTTGGGACCTTGTGATTTCGAGGCAGGCGGCACCACTGAGCTAAATCCCTGGCCCGGAGAATCTAGATTCTGCCCTTGTGGTATGGAGTCCTTGACAGTTGTAAGGGCTTCAGGGTTATAATCTGGGCCCTTGGGATTAGGGAGGGAAACAGGTGTAGGGCCAGGAATGGAAGTAGGAGTCCAGTGAGAGGGCAGCTGCTGACCCCCAACGAGAGGGCAGAGTGATGCTCTGGAACTGCGGGTGATGGGGAGGTGCAGATGGTTCAGAGCAGGGAGGAGAGGGAGTGGTGACGTCCAGGCCTGTCCCCACCTGCTGCGTCTTCCTGATTCAGGCCTGATGAGTCACCACCCCAACAGACCCCTGCTTTCTCTTTTTCACAGTGAACTTGTTTTTAAGCTTGAGCTGTTGAGCAACTCGTTCACGGGCCAGCGGATTTCAGGGCAGTGTTTCACACTGCAGGCCTCGCTGTGTGCTCTGCCCAGTGCTGTCACAAGCTGGTGGGGGTGGCTGTTCTGCTTGCATGAGACAGTGGGCAGAATGCCCTGGCCTGGCTCCCCAACACGTCTGTGCTCATGCTGGGCAGTGACTCTGGATTCTGTGACATCTTGGTATGGTGGCCTGAACAACCCAGGGCAAAACAGCACAGTGGGGCAGCCTCAGAGGGCAGCCCCCTGCTGACCCAAGGTAGGCTTCAAGCTTCATAAAGAATTAGCCGCTTGCTAATGTTTTTGTGGATGCCACCAGCTGTTAAGATGATGTCCCCAGAAACCCTGGCTCTGGGGTCTGCAGAAAGGCAAAGTGGGGTGGTTGGTGTGGGCACTGTTGGAGCATAATAGGCTTCCATTCCACATTCAGACCTCTGCTTGTGTCAGAAACTCAGGCCTAGCTCAGTGTGGTGGTGCATGCCTGTCATCCCAGGACTCTGGGAGGCTGAGGCAGGAGGATTTAAATTTGAGCCCAGCCTGAGCAACTTAGCAAAACTCTGTTTTAAAATAGATAAGGCTTTGGGCTCAGTGGTTCTGGTGCCTCCCTCAAAACAGCAAGGTCCTGAGTTTGATCCCTGGTACCAAAAAAAAAATTAAAAAAAATAAAAAAAGGAAGGCTGGGGATTTAGCTCAGTGGTGCCTTGCATGCTTCGCAAGTGCAAGGTCTTGAGTTCGATCTCCGGTATTAAAAAAAAAAAAAAAAAAAAAAGGAAGGAAGAAGAGGACAGACCCAGGTGGTGCCTCCTAGCTCTCGCTCCTCTTCCGATTCCTACGGCCACTGAACACTCCTGGGGCCCATCCCTTCCTCTTCAGTCCCCTTAGTCTGCTCCGGCTCAGGCCTGTGCCACTACTGGCTGGGACAGTTTACACCTGGTCTGATCACCTCTCCTCCCCTAACCTCCAGGTTCCCTTCCAGACTCAGCTTGGAAATCGCCCCAGGGAAGCCCCCTTTGACCCTCAGTAGGGATTTCTCGCCTCTGGGCCACTATTGAGTAGTCACTCCCTAGTGTTGCTATGTTTGTTTGGTTTCCAGTCAGGCCCCAAGTGAGCTCACGGAGGGAGGGACCCTTCCGGCCTCCAGGGCAGGCTGGCACAGAAAAAAAGCACCGGGACCCCAGGATGCGGATGCCTGGAGGAATTCGCACTCACTGCACACAGTGCAGGCTGCCTGGCCCAAAAATTTGAGAGGGAGTTTCCTCTGTGGCCTAGGAGAGGGGCCACCCAAAAGCACAGGCAGGGATGGCAATCGAGGGCCCCGCACTGCAGCCCAGGGGCCACACGACTCCAGCTCGGAGGAGCAGACGTTTATTCACCTCCAAAGAGGGCAAGCAGGGTGGCCCCGGGGACACGGGGTGGCTGACTGGACAGAGCGTACACGCGAGTCATTACTTGAGCCCCAATTTCTCTATCCAGGAAACAACTGCGGCCCAGCGGACTGAAGGGAGCACAGTGGGGGCTGAGGCAGGGGACGGGGTTGTGGTAAGGAGCGCGCATGTGCATGAGCCTGCGGCGGTCTAGCCGCAATGCACTGGCGCCCCTGTGTGGCAATGCGGGAACTGCTGGCCGTGAGGACAGACAACGCTTGGGGTCTGCAGGGAGACCTTCCCAGGGATGGAGGTCTCTTGACTCCCAGAGAGCTCACTGCGCCAACTGCCTGAGGGAGTGTGAGCCAGAAAGCAAGTGACAGTCTAAGGTGTGACAGACCCACAACCTTACGAGGTCACGTTTGGACAGGTGGTTGAGATCCAGAGCAGGAAGACCCCAAGTTCAGGATCACCTCTGCCTGAGCCCCCACGTCTAACACTGTGCACGACATATAGCAGGTGCTCAACAAGGGATGTGAGTGAGCAGGCGAGTGTGTGAGACGTCTGTGTGCGGAGGAGGGCTTAGAGGTGGTGGCTGGAACCCGTAACTGCATGGTTATAATGTCCGTCTACATTGCCTGACTTTCTAGTCCTGTGAGTCCCCCCTCAGGAAGAGCCAGTGCCCAGGGACAATGGAGATGCCCCTAAAGTCTGCATCTGAGCCCCAGCTTTCGGATGGGCTGAAGGTAGCTCAGGCTTTGTAGACCCCAGGATGGGCCCTGCCCAACCCCCTGACCAGGCAGAGCAGGGCTGAGTCCTATCCAGAATCACTGCACACCTGGTAGCTGCTGGCCCTGAAGTGAGTGTGTCTCTGTGACCTAGGAGATGAGGCACCCCAAAAGCACAAGTGGGGATAGCAATCAAGGGGTCACCTCAGGGCCTCAGGTTCCTCCCTGTGACCTAAAGTTCCTGGTCAGGGAGGCTGGTCCATCTGCTTCCATACATCCCCAGGAGGGCTGGCAGGAGAGGGGTGGGGACAGGGGTGGGGTTGGACTCAAACCCTGACCATGGCCTCCCCCCAGTGCACTCACAGAGACCTGGGGCAGATTCCAGGCAGTTGGGGTACCGTGGGGGGAAGCCTGGGGCACAGAGGCCAAGCTAAGGGCTGAGGCTAGGGAGGGGGTCCAGGCCCTGCTCACATCCCACAGGCAGTGTGGTGGCCTCACTGGGCGGGATGTGGTGGGTCATGTAGCGCTTCCCCATGAAGGAGCCGATCCGAAGATGCTCGGGGACCTCCTCAGGCCACCATAGGCTGGAGCTGGGCAGGAAAGGAAGAAGAGGCGGTGCTATGTCCCTGGCCAGTGGAGGCTGCCAAGTCTGGGCCTGCTCCCCCTGCCCAGCAGCTCACCGTGCAGCCTCTGCTTATACCTTCCTACCTCCCCCAGGCACCACCCTGACGGCCAACCCTGCACCAGCTCCCCAAACTCCCTGGGGCTTAGAAGAGCTTAGACCCAGGAAAAGGGCCTAGTGGAGGACACAGGGAAGGATAGGGCCAGAGCGAGATGGCCATTCGTGACCTTAGATCTCTTCCCAGCCTCCCACATGAGAAGGGGCCTGTCCAGCTCAGAAACATGCTAAGGGGAGGCTTCCAACACCTGGGACCGGGATTGGGAGAGGCCCACAGGTGTTGCCACTCACAAGCGCAACGTGGAAGCTGCCAGGAAAGCCAGGAGCAGGAGGCCAGCCAGAGAGGCGAGGATGGAGGTGATGACGATCATGCAGCCACTCCGCCGCCCCGGCCACGTGTCAATGGAGCCCGGGGCCTCCCCTGCACATGAGGACTGATCAGAGGCAGCCTCTCATCCCCAGGCTGGCTGACCCTTTCCTCCCTCCCTATCCACACTCAGGCCTCAAGGCTTGGCTGCCCTGTGGGCCCGGGCAGCCTCCTGAGCCCAACCCAGACCATCTCAGTCCAGCCTGGAGCACCCATTGCTGCAGCCTCCACTCACCTTCTAGACCAGCGGTCCCCAACATTTTGGACACCAGGGACCAATTTCATGGAAAATAATTTTTCCCAGATGGGAGGTTGGGTGAGGGAGATGTTTCTGGATGATTCAAGCACATCACATTTATTATGCACTGTATTTCTATTAGTATTACATTATTTATTCTCATAAGGAGCACGAACCCTACATCCCCCATGTGCACAGTTCAGAGCAGGCGCGTGCGCTTCTAGAAGCCAAGGCCCAGCTGAGTTGATTAGAGGCAGAGCTCAGGCAGTGATTCGAGGCTGGGAACAACTGAAGCTTCACTTTCCCCCCATCCTTCTCTGCAGCCAGTTCCTAACAGGCTACAGACTGGTACTGGTCCAAGGCCATGGAGTTTGGGGACCCCTGTTCTAGACCGTTCCCACCCACAGCCCACCACTGCCCCACAAGCAGCACCAGAGAAGCTGCAGACCTCCAGACTGACCATGTCACTGCCCTATTCCCCGGAGCCTGGCATTTAAGGCCTTCAGATGACATGACCCCCACCCAAGCACTTTGGCAGCCCCAGGCAATTCCCACCCCTGATCCAAAAGAAAGGGAGGCTGTTTCTGCCCAGGACAGGGCTGGGGCCTGGACACCCAAGGGTTGGCAAATGCTCAGGGATGAACAGAGTGGTGTCCATGGCAACGGGGCTGGGCCAGGCCCCTTAGGGTAAGCTCCCCACCCCAATCCTACCTTGGCGAAGCCTAATGGGGTCTGACCACTTGGTCTCAGCCTTGGGAGAGCCACTGACGTCCATCACGAGGAACTTCACACTGGGGACGGGAGGCGGGGGGTGGGGGCAGGGCTGAGACTGAGGCCTCGCCTGTCTTAGGCAGGGTGCCCCCAAGCCTGGTTGGGCTGGGAGAACCCAAGGAGGCCTCTTTGGTCGCATGGCCTGCACTGGCAGGCCCCCGTCCATCTGGGCAGTTGCTCTGCAGACAGCTGTCTGGGCCAGGCCGTGACGGGCACCCTGGCAGAGTGCACATGGCTGGGTGTCCCTGGCCTCCTGGAGGACTGAAGTGCTGGCCTGTGGAGTCGAGTGCAGGTCTCTAAAACAGGGACCCCCAAGACAGGCTGAAGTGAGGAGAGGCGTGGTCAGGTCCTGGGTATCATGGTACAGTATCTGAGCCGTGGGAGCTCTGGAATTTGTGCAGTGGGGGACCAGCAGGCTGGCATGGTTGGCTGCTGGGAATGGGTGAGGCTGGAGGCGTGGATTGCCAGATAGGTGGGTGAGAGGGCAGAGGAGGCTGAGGGTTCCTGCCTTGCAGGCCTTGACTTCCCCACTCCTTCCTGGCCTCTCCTGACTGGGCAGCCTGCATTTGGACACCAAGGAGACACCTGCTTTCTAGTCCTGGCCCAACCCCAACCTCAGCAGGCCCACTTGGCACTCCGTGCCTCAGTTTCTTCATCTGTAAAAGGGGGGGAAGCAGGTTGTAGTAACAAATGCCTATAATCCCAGTACTCTGGGAGGCTGAGGCTGGAGGATTGCAAATTTGAGCCCAGCCTGGACAACTTAGCAAGACCTTGTCTCAAAAAATAAAAAAGGCACGGGCCGGGGATTTAGCTCAGTGGTTCCATCACCTGCCTCGCAAGCTCAAGGACCTGAGTTCGATCCCTGGTACCAAAAAAAAAAAAAAAGGCAGGGGATGTAGCTCAGTTGGAAGGGACTGAGTTCATTCCCCAGTATGGGGGAGGGAGCCATCTCTCGGGCCTGATCTGCCCATTAGAGGGACCAGCGGCCTCAGCCCTGTAGCCGTCCCCTCCTCCCTTGACTGAGTACCCAGTCACCCAGGGTCAACCCTCAGGAGCCCCTGGAAAGGCATCTTTCTGGCTGCCTGGAAGGGTACCATGGTCTCACCTTACAGAGGAAGTAAACTAAGGCCATGAAGGGATGGGGCGGGGTGGCAGCTGAGACCACCCACCTGTAGGGTCCCGGGCCAGGGAGGGGAGCATTGCAGTAGGGCTGCTGTTGGCAGCTGAAGTCATTGCCCACTCGAAGCAAGCGGACACCTCCACTGCCACCCCGCAGGTCCTCACAGGGCAGCTGGTCCGGGGACAAGGGCAGTGTCATGTAGTGGCCATCGGTCAGCAGCTGTGGGGAGGTGGGGATCTCGGCCAAGGTCTGTGGGTTCTGGAAGTCCCTGGAGGCTGCAGGGCAGAGGGACAGACAGATGGGGAGACAGGGGAGACAGGCCTTGTCCTGGTGACGAGCAGGCTGCATTCACGAGTCCTCGGCACCACCCCTAGTCACAGCCTCCAGCTCTGACCCCCATGCCACCCCCCCATCAAGTCCAGAAACAGCAGGCTTTGCCACCCCCTGGCAGTCCCCCAGGATAAAGCTTCATCCTAGTCTGCACCCACCCTCCAGGGGCTCCCGGCTGGCACCCCACAACTGCAGGTGCTGGCAAAGGGCTCCCTTGGGCCCCCGCCCCCCTGCCCCAGGCCTGCCCTACATACCATTGCTGAAGGTCACCACCAGCCAGATGGTGTCGTTGGCACCGGCATGCCCATCGAAGATACAGGTAGGCTGTTCCAGGGAGAATGTGGTGGCCGTGACCCTCCCTTCCAGATCCCAGGCTGTGATCTGCGGAGTGTAGGGGACCAGCTCTGTGGCCACAGGGGACAAAAGTAAGCAGTGGAGGTCAGCACCTCCCTTGCCCCTGGGACTGCCTGTTCTGATTCAGGGGCTCCCAGGGCCCAATCCCTGCAGCAGGGGCCCTGAACCTCAGTTCCTCCCAGGACCCCATCTCACCCAGGCACAAGTTGGGCTGCAGCCACGGTAGCACCCAGAGGAGCAGCAGCCCAGGGTGAGGCTGCCTCCAGGGGAGCCCCATGACCGCCGCAGCCTGAGCATCTGAAGCTGGGGCTGGTCTGGCTACCTCTGGCCACACCCCGCCTCAGCCCTTGGCCCAGAGGAGCTGGTTTGTCAGGCTGCCAGGAAGGGCCGGAAAGACCTGTGCATGCACAAGCACCCTACTCTTCCCTGAGGCCCAGCCCAGCACCAACAGGGGGCTGGGTGGGCTCTGGAATGGGCGGGCTGGAGCCAGGGCTGAGGGAGAGGGCCCCCAGGGCCCGCAGATGACTGCCAGGCCACCCCAGACTCCTGTCTGGATAGGGGCCCACCCAGCCTCCCAGCCAGGGAGGAGGGCCTGGCCTGAAAACCTGGGCTCCAGGCCACGCGCCTGGGATTCCTGCGCCCCAGGTACCAGGAGCTTGCCTCTGGTGTCCACTCCACCCAGGGAGAGGATGGGGGGCAGAGGGCGGAGCCGTCCCAACTGGCCTGCTCCAGCCCCCACCCCCACCCCCCGCCCATGATGAGCCTCAGTTCCCTGTCTGCTGGAAAACCCTGGACAAGGGGAAAGCACTACAGAGCCTTAGACAAGCCCTCTGCAGACCCAACCCTCTTGGGCTGCACCCCAGGTATTTTTTAGCTGTAAGTCATTCACTGTAAAACCCACATCTCTGATTTCTCAGACTCCCGGGGCTGTGCGGTCGTCACCACTCATTCCAGAGCTTTTTTATCACCCTGGGAGCAAACACGGGTGCCTTCCATGGCCCCTCCCGTCCGTCCCTCCCCCCTTAGCAAGGCTCCTTTCTGACCTCCAGGGGCTTTACAGTCAGGATCACAAAGCTTGTGCTGTGTCTGGCTTCTTTCAGTACTTAGCAGCCTGCAGAGGGGCTTTGTTCCTTTTTAAGGCTGAGTAATAATCCGATACAGACAGTATGTTTATTGATTCATTGGATGGTGTTTGGGTCTTTCCACTTTGACTGTGGTGTTCATGAGGTGGCACACTTTTGCATGCGTTTGTGTGGTTATGTTCTCGTAAATTTGCCCTGGGAATATCCCTGGAAGTGGACTTGCCCTTTTGAGGAACTGCCTGTTTCCCAAAGCAGCTGCATTCACACTCCCACCAGATGGGACCAGGGTGTGATTTCTCCACACCCTCCAGAGGCTTATTCTACCTTGTGGTTTTGATTTGTGTTTCTTGACTGACATTAAACATCTTTTCATGTATTTGTCTACGGAGGGATGTCAAGTCCTTTGCTCCTGGTCTTTTAGGTGGTGCAGGGATTGAACACCAGGCAAGAGCTCTACCTCTGAGCTGCACCCCCAGGTCCTGTCCATTGCCCCCCCTATTGGAGATTGAACCCAGGGCCTTTACACTGAGTTACCTTCCCAGCCCTTTTTTAGATTTTTTTTTTAATTTATTTTTTATTGGTACCAGGGATTGAACTCAGGACCTTGTGCTTTGGAGATAGCCACGGTGCCACTAAGCTAAATCCCTGACCCTAGATGTTTTGAGACAGGGATAGCTGAGGCTGGCCTTGAATTTTCTACCCTCCTGCCTCAACCTCCTAGAATGCTGAGAAGCATGCACATCCATGCCTTTTTGGAGATAGGAGCTCACTATGCAGTCCAGGTTGGCCTCCAACTTGTAGTGATCCTCCTGCTTCAGCCTCCTGAGTGCTGAGATTACAGGGATGTGATTCACATTTTTGGTTTTGTTTTATTGTTGAATTCTAAGTTAATAGTCTGGATATTTGCAGGTATATGATTTGCAAGTATGTTCTGTATCCTGATTCTCGGTGTCTGTCAGTGTTAGCACCCAGGGTCTGGAGAAGCTGTGAGGGCAGCAACATCTGGGCCCCCCAATTCCTGTGCAGACACTGTGTGAGTGTGGCGAGTCTCAAATGTAGAACCAAACAGTTCTGGGACTCAGCCAGGATGGGTGTCTCCGTTGAAGCCTCACTGTCCTTTTCGCATGTACTAACTTACCCATGAAGCAAAGGTTCGGACTCATACTCCTAGGAGACCATGATAATCTGTTTTGTTTGAGATAGGGTCTCCCTGTGTAGTTCAGGCTGGCCTTGAACTCACAGTGATCTTCCTGCCTCAGCCTCCTGAGTGCTGGGATTGCAGGTATGTACCATCATACCCAGGAAAAATGCACATGGTAGTACATGCCTGTAACGCCAGCATTCTGGGAGGCTGAGGCAGGAGGATTATAAGTTCAAGCTCAGCCTGGGCAACTTAGCAACCTAGACCTTGTATAAAATTTTTTTAAAAGCATAGGGCAGTGATGGTGAAACTTTTAGAGATTTCAATGATGCAAATAGCCAGCTATTGCATGCATGCCATAGGTTTGCCACCATTGGCCTAGGGATATACTTTGGTATGAAGGCCCTGGGTTCAATCCTCAATATAAAAAATACAAAAAAACAAGTAAAAAGTAAGCTTTTAGGTGAAGAAAATGCTCTAAGTACCATTATGTTCTTTGTACTAATGTGTTGTGAAACAACAGAACTTGATGTTTCTGGCTCACGAAGACAAAAGTGCCTCTGGCCCAGGACAGCTAGAATGTGGCCTGTGGGTCCCTCCAACCCTGGGCCAGCAGCAAGGGCGTGACTGGGGGTGTCTGCTCGTCCTGAGGTCAAGAATTGGGGTGTGGGCTGAGGACGGCCTGAGACCAGCTCCAGCCCAGCCCCACCACCTGATTAGCACTGCACCTTTGAATCCCCGTCTCCGTCTCCTTTTCTGTGCCATGGAGACACAGGACAGGCCCTGTGTGAGCCGGTTTCATACCAGACACCTGGGGAGGGGTGGCAGGCTCCGCACACAGTGGGCAAGGACCTGTGAAGGCCAGGGAAGCTGTGCTCTGGCTCTTCCTTCACCAGGCGGGTGGCACACGTAAGGCACCTGCGCTCAGGGTCAGATCTCACACACACACGTGCGCACGCGCCTGCTGTCCATTGATGCACACACCAGGCCCGCACACTTTGGCTACAGGGCCTTTATTGCAAACAAAATGTGAGGTATGAGAAGTGGACCCAGGGCCTGTGCCCGCCTGGCTGGGAAGGACCCAGAGCAGCCTGGAGGACACGGCCGTCCCTGCATGAGGTAGCTACATTGTAAGCCCCCCAAGTCCACCTCCCAGGGCTGCCCAGTGCCCACGCAGACCCCTGCCTGAGAGCAGGAGAGGCGGGCAGAGCTGGCTTTGAGAGCCACCCCTTGACCTGCATTCCAGCCTCTCAGGAAAGGCACCTTCCTGCCAGGGGCAGCCTTGGGGCAAGGGTGGCTGTCAGTAGGCCTCGTGGGGCTGTGGTCACTGCTGCTCCAGGCAGTTCTCGGTCACTCCCTGCGCGGCCAGTTCAGCCAGCACGTTCTGCAGGTAGTTGGGGTCAGGGTAGCCATGGCCCGTCACATTGCGGTCCATCTCTGTCTTGTGGTGGATCTCGTTCCACACCACTGTGTCTGTCTCCCCCGTGGTGCTGGATGTCCCGACGGTGAAGATGAGTCGTCTCTTCCAGGCCACCTTCAGGAGCTCTAGGACCTGCAGGGAGGGAAGTGGGTGGAAAAGGGAAGGGAAGTGGAAGGAGAGGAGGAAAGGAAGAAGAGAAGGGAGGGGAGGAGGAGAGGAAAGCAGGAACACAGAGAGGGAGGGCCAGTGTGAACAGCACGCTGGACCTGCCCCTCCACCCACGCTCTCCAAGGCAAGCTCTCCAGCGCAGTACAATAACCCCAGTGGGGATCCCCAGAACTCCAGCTGCAGACCCGACAGCACCACAGGATCTCACACAAGCCTCGCCCCAGCCTGGCCTGCCCTGCCCCATCTCAGTAATGGGCACTACCACCTAGATGGCCACTCTGGGCAGAGCCCGGGCAGTGCCCGAGTCCGCTGTCCTTACATAATTCATCCGGGACACACTGCCCGCTGCTCTCTGCCTCTGCATCCTCGCTGCCTTCTCAGCTTCCATGCCCGGGCCCCTGGGAGTCCTGGCTTGGGGCTGGGCATGTGGCTCAGTGACAGGGGATTTGCCAGAGTGAGGCCTTGGGTTCCATCCCCAGGAATGAGGAAGAAAAAAGCAGCCAGAAGAGTGTTTCCTAACCGATCCCCAGCAGCCCCTCTTGTGGCTTCAGGGTGCCAAGTGCGCCCTCTTCCCATAAGCACCCCACTTCTCAGGGCTGGACTGGAGGGCAGCCTGGCCTTCAGCCTCCCTATGTAGTCTGGGTCCATCCGGAAGCCTCTACCCACTGCTGTCCCCTGAAGGCTCTTCCCGACCTCCTGAGGGGTCTCAGGCAGCCAGAACAGCTCAGCCATGTAGGTCCCCAGTCCTCCTGTGGCATCTCATGACCCTGACTCTGAAGAGAAAGGAGCCTGGCCTCTACCCTCTCTGAAGCCCATGAAGCCAGGTCACTGTCCCCTGGGTCCTCAGTGAATTCTGGGGGAAGAACAATGTGGCAGCATTGCCCTTGGGTCTCGTTGTCCCTGGCACTAGAAGGCGAACCGAGGCAGACGCATGGCTGAGGGGCCTTTACCTTGCGGCCCTGGGCGTTGTCTGGGAGGTAGCACTGGCGGGGGAACCCTCTGGCGGTGAATGGCTTCCCAGGGTTGGGGTGCTCAGGGCCCTGTAGGAGGAACACAGGCTGCTGCAGAGGCTGATGGGCGCAGAGCTGCTCCATCAGCCCGGGGCCTTCCTGACTGGGTCTGCTCCTGCATTCAAGCTACAGACCTGGTCCCTCCAAAGGCCCGCAGGGAGCAAGGTCTCCCACCCACACCACCCACACCCGCTCTCCCTCAGACCTTCGAGGATCTGCCTGGCATGCGACCCCACCTGCCAACCTCCTCTTTTCCAGGTGACTCCAGGAAGCCTGCAAGGGCCAGAGTGGACCCTCCTGCTTCTCTGGTAACCCTCTGGGCACTGGGCTCTTGGGCCTTCCTCTGTCACCCCACACACTTCACAGGCTCAGCAGGCTGCACCTGGCTCTATGAGGTGGCTGAATAGGTGCCTCCCCTGGGTGACAAACTGATGAAAGGGGGAAGGGGGAACGAGATGGGCCTTGCGCTCTGCCCTCTACTGCTCAGCCCAAGCCCACGCACAAATCACAATCCTCTATGCTGCAGTGTTTCCAAACTGAGCCATGTGGAAATGGAAGGAAACCAGGAGAAAGGCATGTGACTCAGCCTCACTCCAGCTCCTGGGCCCCTCTGTCCAGGCGGGGTCCAACCCGCCACCGAGAGCTAGGGCCTGATGTGGATTCCCGACTCCCGGCCCAGGCCTGAATCTAGTTCCTTCTTCTCAGTACAAGGGTCTGTCAGGCATGAAGTGATTCCACCCAGGTCCCTGCGGGCCCCCCGTGTGGCAGGTCCCTTACCTGGATGCCGTGGGGAATGCTGTAAACTATGAGTATCGTCCCGCAGTCCTCATGGCCAGGCAGTGACACCTGGAACCTGAACACCTCCATCTTCCCCCGGGGCTGGGTGCCAGTCTTCTCCCCATAGATGGTTTTGCAGGAGGGACACTGCAGACTGCCGTCCTGGGATGAGGCAGATGCAACAGTCTGAGACAGTCACTTGCCCTAGGTGGCAGAGGAGGCCACTGGGGACCTAGCTGCAGAGCCCACCCAGTACCCAGGAAGCCTCCTCTCCCAGAAACTGGCTTTCAACGAGGTGTCAAAAGGCAAGTTTGAGAGCCAGATGTGGTGGCGCATGCCTGTAATCCCAGCATTTAGGAAGCTGAGGCAGGAGGATCACTGTGAGTTCAAGGCCAGCCTGAACTACATAGCAAGACTCTGTCTCTCAAAAAAAAACCAAAACAAAAACCAAAAAGAACACCAAAAAGTAAGTTTCACATCACAGTCTCATGCAATTCTCATAAAGGGGTAAGAAGACATCAAGAGACGGGCCAGGAGGGAAAGTCAGGTTCATGAGCGTCTCCAGCCTTATCACCTCTAAAATCAAACAGACTCTGCAGTGATCTGTGGCTGCTGCAGGTCGGTGGCTGAGGTCGCACAGGGTGCCACACAGATGCCCAGGCCAGGCCGGACAGCTGTCATGGGACTTGGCTCCCTCTGTCCTCCCAATCTCTGCCCACTCTGGTGCCCAGGGGTCAGCACTGAAGAATGCACAGGACTCTGTGTAGAGGGGACCCAGATGACTGTGGGGTCCCCCGAGTCTTTCCCTCACCAGCACAGAGCCGACAGCAGAGGGTTGTCACAGGAAGATGTGAAAGGCTTGGAAGTGCCAAGGGTGAGACAGAGCCTGCAGCTTAGGAGAGTGCAGTGCCTCCCCACGCCTGGCTGGATAGCTGGGGTGCCCAGCCTCATTGGCCCCTTCCTAAAGCACGGGCAGGACTGGAAGAACCAACAGGGTCTCCAGAAAAGTCTCCAAGCTAGCTCTAGGCCCTGTCTTGCCAGGAGCGACCCCATACCTGCCACCCAGAGCCCAGCAGCAGAGCCCATGTGGCTGCAGGACAAGGACCACAGCCATCTCAGGGCTTGTCAGAGGCAGCAGGTCGCCTCCGCCCACACCCAGCCACCTCACGAACCTTGGTCCCATTGGAGTACATGGCCAGCAGGCACAGTAGGTGGAAGGCATGGCTGCACTTGGCGAGGCGGCCCACGGCCACAGGCCCAAGGGTCTTGCTGTCAGTCACGTCACTGTACCCAGAAACCACAGACAGCTTCTCCATGCAGATCATGCAGTCCTGGGGGACCAAACACAGGGCATGCTTGCCAGGCTGGCTGGGCGGCAGTAGGGCAGCTTTGCAGGGGAAGGCTGTTGTCTGTTCCTGGGGTGGGGAACACAGAGGAATCGCCAGGACTTGTGCCTGTGAGGGGCTAAGCTGAAGCAGGGGCCTGACAGGCAGTGGGAACAGCAGGATGGAGAGGACAGGAGGAGGAGAGGCTTGGAGTTGTTTTTGCCAAGGACATAGGGGCAGTCCTTGGGATGGGCATCGCAGGTGAGGGAAGAAACATGAAGAGCACACAGGCAGCTCAGGGGCACTGGGTAGATGAGGGTGGATGAGACCAAGCCTGGGAAGGACCAGATGTGGACCACCAGGCTCAGAGCGAGCTGCCTGGTGGCCATGAGGACAGAGGAGCCGCCCACGGTTGGGAACACAAGGCCAAGAGAAAGAGTGGTCTGGGGAGGTGCACAGAGAGGCTCTGGGAAGGGAGGGGATGTGAGAGGACCTTCAGGCTTCTGTTCCAACCTTTCCTACCCAGATTTCCTCATATTCAACTCTCAGGACCAAGCAGCATGGGAAGCCCTTGGCTCTACACTCCACTCCTGACCTTGAACCCTATTCTAGGACCTCCAGGAGTCCCCAAGATGTGGCTCACCACAGCAAGGACTTGGCAGGCCATTAGTCACAGGAACCCTGACCAGCACTCCATCAGCCAGAAGGAGAGGAGCACCACCTGGACAAGGGTACCTTGCTGGGCAGGGTCCAGAGCCTTGGTGCTGGGACTCCTGGAACCTGGGTGGCCTCACGCAGGATACACAGAGCTGCCCTTTTTTTTTTGGCAGTACTAGGAATTAAACCCAGGGCCTTTGCAATGATCTACATTCCCATCCTCTTTTTTATTTTGAGACAAAATAAGACTCAACTAAGAGACTAAGGCTGATCTTAAAGTTGAGATACTACTGCCTCAAACCCTCCAGAGTACTGGGATTACGGGCCTGTGCCACCATGCTTAGCTTGAGAAATTTTTCTCAGGACCACAGCTCATCCATGAGATGGGAATGACAGGTCTCAGGAGCCCTAGCCACATTGTCTTGGCGTTCCTACTTCCCACTGGAGGCTGGAGCTGAAACCACAGAGCCTGGAGCATGGCGCCTGTCCCAGAGACACCTGGGAAATACCCTGGGAGCCGAGCAGGATGGGGTCCCCATCACATGGAGTTTACTTGTCTCCAAACAAGAACCACTGAGGCATGGTGCCCAGGATGCGTACCTCATCCGGGGGTGTCTTCAGCTCTTCAGTGTAGGTTCTGATCACCTGTTCTGGCTCCAGCTTTGGAGCCCCCCCTGGAAGAGAAGGGGAAGTTAAGTGGGGTCCCAACTTGGGGAGTGATGCCAGGGAGGAAGGTGGACAGGCAGAGGTCCAAGCTGCAGGAGAAAATGTTAGCAGGGCTGAGTTGGAAGGTTAGCGTGCAAAACAGGACACTCCAGCCCCACCAGGCCACCTGCATGATGCTGGCCCAGACGGGAGCCCTGGAGGCGGCGGCGGTGGTTGAGGGTGAGGAGAAAGAGAGCAGTGGGTGAACCTGTCCTAGCTATACCCCAGGAATCTCTACTGGCCCTGTGGAGGATCCCAGAAACGTCCAACAGCAGCTTTGTGGACAAACTGCCCCTAGACCGTTCTGGAGTTTGGTTTATCCAACCTTCACCACTCTTTTTTTTTTTGATACCAGGGATCAAACTCGGGTCCTTCCACTTGCGAGGCAGGTGGCAGAACCACTGAGCTAAATCCCTGGCCCCAACCTGTACCACTCTTCCATGCTGATTTCAGTGAAAGAGGCGAGTTCTGAGTCCACCTGTCCTAGGAGCCTAGCACACATGGGCATGTTGTGCCCCCTGCAGACAATGCCACAGTGCCACTGTCTCATGCACCACCGGCTCAGAACTAGGAGAAGCACCCTGACTGCCCCCCACTTGGTCTCCAGCCACATGCATGAAGGTGGGGGGAGACCATCCCTCCACAGACCCTCAGCCCTGCCCAAGGACAGGAGCTCCCAACAAGAGCATGGCATAGCTGGGGGCTTCCAGGCAGCGGCAGCAGCAGGATCACATGGCATTGCAACCAAGCCCAGGCAGGGGCAGAAGGCAGGAGCAGGGGACCAATGCAGCTTGGAAGCAGCCCCAGGCAGGGCTCCTCATGTCATCTTGGCCCCACCCCATCTCTGAGACCAGAAGGACTTCCTGGTTTGAGCCTATGCTCACGGCCCTCAGCCTCTGGCTACAAAGATATAAATCTAAGGGCTTAAACAAATGAACCCTCTCCAGAGATGGCTGGTGACAGGTATCTGGGAAGTGGCTTGGTGTAGGAGAAGGGCTAGCATCAGGGAACACTGGGCTTGATTCTGGCTCTCACGCTGTGACCAAATCCTACCACCTCCAAGCCCCAGTTCCCTGAGCTAAGAGTAGAAGCCCAGTACCTAAAAAAGTGTCACTAGTACAAGGCTTCAGCTGCTAGCACCTGAGAAGGGCAGAAACCAGCAGAGGACACCACATGTGGCCACTCATACCTACCTCCATCCCCAACCTCACACACTCCCCACACTGACCACCCCCCCCACGCCACATACACACCCGTACCCCATACAGACTTCCAGAAACCATACCCTGGTCACTGGTGAGAAAGCCAGGCCAAAACAATGACCACAGGCACAAGGTAGCCACGAGTCAGCCAGGACGCCCCACCCAGAGGGAGCCTTTCCTTTTAGAAGCCCAGTGTCTACAGGCCAGGCTGCAAGGGGCCCAGGGACACCCTCTTCAAGGAGCAGGTCCTCAGGTCAAGTACAGCTGGCTTGGCACCGACCCCTCGCCCAGGTGGCCATTCAGAACTGAAGGGACCTGCCATTAGCCACCCTTCTTAGCCGGGCATGGTGTTGGGTTTGATCCCCAGTACCACACACACATACAAAAGCTGGCCAGGTGACTGTCAACCCCACAAAAGGGACATCTGGGCCCAGGAAGGCCAGAGGATCTACTGGGGCCCTGTTTCTTCCAAAACAGGCTGGGTGCCCAGGCTGCTGCCCTCTTGTCCGGCCCACACCCATCTCCACCAAAGCAGCTAAGAGCAGCCTGTGTGGAGCCCAGGGCTGGGGTGAGGAGCCCTAAAGCCACCTCTCCCTGGATACTACTCCTGCTCTATGGGGTGGGGATCAGATAGGACAGGTCATGATCAGAGTAGCTATCACTGTGCTTTGCCTGTCCTTCCTAGTCCTCTCCAGCCAACCTATGCTGCAGGCACTGCTCATGCTGGAGAAGTCACAAAGCCAAGGGTGGCTTGAGCTTCGATAGCAACCCAGGCTGGCAGGGCCCCAGTCATCCCTGCACACTACTGTGCCACCCCATAGAGCATCAGAACAGCTCAGAACTTACTACGAAGCCAGCCTTATCACACACGCCATTCCTTCCATGGCTCTGAAACCCCTTCTTCCCAGGGCCATACGATAGGCAGGGCAGCGGTCAACACAGAACCTACCAAGTGACCCAGCTCTGGGAACTACAGCAGGGGCCTTTCCTGAGACACACACCAGCCCAACTGGAGGGACAGTCATCCCATCATCTCTAGCCATGCCCGATCTGTACCTTGATGTTTACAGGAACCTTGGGAACAAGCCCATCTTGTTCCACTGTGCCTGGAAAACAAGATTCCCAGAAGCTATCTCTGCTGCCTAGTGAGGGCAGGGAGAAAGGGCCACAGGGAGTTGGGCAGGGCTGGGGAGGTCAGAGAAGAGCAATTTGCGCGGGAGAGTTGGAGGCAGCGAGACTCGGAGGAGGCTTAGCAGAGGCCAGAGAGCATGTGTGAACAGGAACTACCTTTCACGGACATTTTCCTTAGTTTCTTAACTGAGCTGTGACTTTTAGAGGCCAGGCGGGAGGCGGGAGGGCTGGCGGGCTGGGGTGCGCGGCTAAGACACACGGGGAGTCCAATGGCTGACATCAGCACACTCGTCATGCCTGCACGGGTGCGAGATCAGACATGCAGAGGAGAAACATTAGAAGGAGCACTTGGCACACGACACCTGCAAACTGCCGAGTCCGAGGTGGCAGCAAGAATGGCTCCCAGGACCTATAAATCTGGAGAATCTGGAGGCTGCCAGGACTGCATTCCAGGCTGGTAACCAGGCCTGGTCACCAGTGTCCAGCTTCAGGTCCCCAGGTGTCTGCACAAGCACTTGCCTGGCCTATCCCTAGAGCATGCAGGGGGCCAAGGCCCATTGCTATAGGAGAGCAGAGGAAAAAATGCCACCCCAGGAAGATGCCTGAGCAGTTCTGGGTGGCATCGCCCCCTATCAGGTGCAGGGATGGAGACCAGATTCAGCAACATGGCAGGGCAGAGCCAAGCTGCAGAAACAGGGATGGGCCTCCCCAGCAGGGCTGGCTTCAAGGGCTCAGTCTCACCAGTGACCCCTGGCACCTCCAGGCCTTACCACACCCTCTTGGGTTGTGGTCACACTGCCTCCTGCAGGGTGCTGTCTGCTTTCCACACCCCATGTGACCTATCTAGGTGACAGGACTTCAGTGACATTGCTGAGGTGGGACCGTTGCCCCTGGGGACTGCTCCTACACTGACGGAACCCAGGGCCCTCAGCTGTGGCTTCTTTCACTGGTGCCACCAGAGAGGGAGCTGCAGCAGGCCACTGTGCATTCACCAGGCTGGCCACTGTGGCCTCCACAAGAAGAACAAAGGCTCTCAACTGGGCCAACATGCCCAGTTGGGGACAGAGGCAGAAGCTAGCCACTGGCAGCCTGGCCAGCATAGCTGAGTCGGGCAGGGGATATTATGGTGGCCATTCAGCCAGAGACCAAAGTGCACATTGGAAGACCCAGGTTCGAGCCTGGGCTCTGATGGGACTGCTGCTGGCTCACAGAAATGCCATTTGCTTCCCAAGACTGTTGGTGGGTTCAGATGTAACTAACTCCCTTGGGAAATAAATGTTAGAGGGACAGAATGACAGCTGGCACAGGTGGCTGAAAGATGGGACAGACCAGAAAGAGGAGCAGTGTTTCTTAAGAGAACCCAGAGGCTTTGTATTGACCATGTCCTCTGATGGGAACATGTCCCCTGCCAGTGCCCCACTTAGGTCTTAAGCACCACCTCTGAGAAGGTCTTAGCCTCCCAGACCACCCTGTGGATCGGACCGTGTCCCCTGCCCACTCCCACCTTCTTCACCCTGCTTGTTTATTTTCTCAGCATTTTCACAGCTGAAATCATCCATGCACCTGCTAGCTGACTATCTTTCCCTCAGCACGAATCCCACTGCTGTCTGTCCAGCACCCGGGCAGGTATGATCTAGAGGAGGCACAGATTTGTGTCTGCTGAGGAATGAAAACATCCCTAGGGCCACTATTGCCAGCCAGCGTCACGACACTTCTGCCACATCCAAGACAGGACCCAGTCCCCTGAACTCTAGCCAGACACCAGTCTCAGTGCAGTCACCTGAGAGAAAGCAGTCTTGCTCCATGGTTCTAGCTTCCCGTGAGAGGCCTGAAAACCACCCTATATCTGAGACATCACAGAAACAGCAAGCAATGGCTGGGATGGGGTGGGGGCCACTGAGCAGGCCAGTTCATCTCTCTCAGCAACAGAAGCTCAGGGACAGCACCAAAGCGCCTGAACAGCTCGGACAGCAGCCATGCTTTTCCTGAGGGCATTCTCACCCCAAACAGTGCAGCCCCATTCAAAGACTCTCAACCCCAAATACTCACTAGCACCCCTTTTGGAAACCAAAGGTCAGCCTTTCACTAGGGACCAGGGTGCAGAGCCAAGCTGGTCCTCCAATGCCCTGGCTTCCCTACTCCCTGCCCAGTGTCACTCCTCCCAGGCTGGCGGGTCCTGGGCAGGTTCCTGAGCAGCAGTGCAAGATGCAGCCCTGGCTGCAGATGCTGCTTCCTCCTTGGCAGGCAGGATGTGAAGAAGCTGGCCCCAGCCCCACAGGCTGGCCCCATGCCACAAAGGTGCGGGCTGGGCGATGTGCACCAGGGGAGCGGCACCTGGAGGCACCATCACTGGGAGGCACAGCTCCTCCAGCCCACACAGTCCTGCCACAACATGACCACCTGGTCGTACACTGACCTGCAGAAACCCGTCTCCAAATGCTCATCTCCCTGTGGCTGGGTGTGGTATATTCCTGAATCCATAAACGTGGCTCAGGTGAGAGAGGACACTCTCAGCCTATGCTTCATTCCCTGGTGCCCTAGAAAATGGTCCCACTAGCAAGTATCAATCCCAGAGCCTTGGATTAATTGACTGATCAATTGATTTAGCAGTGCTGGGGATTGCACCTGGGGCCTTCAGACTGAGCTGTAGCTATATCCCCAGCCCTTTTTATTTTCAATTGAGACAGGGTCTTTTTTTTTTTTTGGTACCGGGGATTGAACTCAGGTCCTTGCGCTTGCGCAGCAGGCAGCGAAACCACTGAGCTAAATCGTCCCCCCGGCCCTAGACAGGGTCTTGTTAAGTTATTAAGTAAGTCACCAAGGCTGGGCTCCCCTGAACTTGCCACTCTCCTGCCTCAGCATCCCAGAGTGCTGGAATTACAGGCATTAACACCACGTCCAGCTTGGAGCCTTAAATTTATCAGGGATGGCAGTCTAGCCACCGACACCAGTCTCCCGTATTTCCCAGCTAGAACCAAGTTTCTGAACTTTTGGGGTGTTTCCCCGAAGTAAAAGAGGTTAAAATACTTGCCTAGGGGCTGGGGATGTAGTTCAGTGGTAGAGCATGAGGCCATAGATTTCATCCTTAGCAATGCAAAGAAATAAAAAGTAAAAGAAAGAAAAATAAAAACCTGCCCTCCTCCAGGATTTCTGTGAGAGTAGAGGTTATGGTGACATTGAAATAAGCAGGGACGCAGCCCGGAGAGAGTCCTCAGCTTCAGGGGAGGTAGATGGCTAGTGTTACTTGATGCCCAGGCAGGCCTGAGAGCCACTGAGAGAAGTGACTTGAATCTGTGTCACAGCCTCAGTGAACACACCATCAAGTCCTGCCAGCATGAGGGCCATGTGGGTGCCTGGCCTGTTTATGGGTAACCTTTCTCCACCAGCAGAGCCCTATACCCTCATACTAATGGACTCACTCACAGCACCAATGCAAATGTCCCGAAAGTGGGCAGGAACTCTCTGGTCAGCATTTGCCATTCTCTCCCCTGGGACCAGCAGAGGCTGAAGGCCGGGCAGCTGCTGCAGCACCAGAAGCACATGCTGGGTGCTCTCCAGCTCCTCGATCTCCCTACCCTGCCCCCTCCCCCGGCTTTCTCCACCCCTCCTGCTGTCCCTCTATAGGTCCTGTCCTCATTGCTCCTCATCCAGCAGCCCCTGCCCCTCCCTCCCTTGAGGGGCGAAAGACCTCATCTCCTCCAGACTCCCCCCTGAGATGTACACCCACACTCTTGCTGTCCCTGGGACATTCCACTTGTCTATTCCACTGCCATCACCACCCGAAGGTCCACCAGACTCAGGAGCACCAAAGCATCATGGGAAGAGCCCAGATCCTGAACCAGAACATCAAGGGTTGAGTTCCCAGCTTTTGAAATTCTCAGGGCTTCAGTTCCATCAAACGTAAAGTGGGAATAAGAGTCTCCACCTCACGGAGCTATTTAGGGATGAAACACACAGGCATGTGCAGGAGCCCCTTGTCACTCGTCTGAATTACTGTCGTGATGACCACAGGACTGCGACAATAGGACCCTGCTGCAGGCCTTCCACCTCCCTCCTCACCACCTCTCCAGCGCCAAGTCGGAAGGCTCTTCCCTCCACACCCTTCTACCCCTGACTCTGCCCAGGTGTGTGGCCAGGTTCCACACGGCCTCCTGCCCAGCCCTGTCCGTCTAACCACGCTGTGCTGATGTGGACCTGCCAAGAACAAATTCAGTCACCAATTCCCCTGCATCAGCTGCAAACCATGAAAGTTTGTCGCACTGATCCACCTTCCTTTTCATATACTTCACGCCACCCACAAGCTACTATGAGTAATTTTTGTGGCCCCCCAACACCAGAAGAGGACTTCACAGAGTAAGTGCCAACACAGAGGTAGCAAGCAATCTAAATGGGCCCAAAGGTGTTTACTCAAAGCCAGACAAGATGTAAGTACAGCCACATGGCTGTAAGAACCCCAAGCGTGCACTGCCTAAAGCATTTCAGGACAGAAAAGTGGTTCTAACTGTAGTTCTTTTTTTTTTTGGTGGCCCTGGGGACTGAGCCCAGGGCCTTTGAGCTGAGCTACATTCCCCAGCCCCTCTCTTCCTCCCTCCTTCCTTTCTGATTTTTTTTTTTTTGGTACTGGGATCAAACTTGGGATTTTGCACTTGCGAGGTAGGTGGCGGAATCACTGAGCTAAATCCCTGGCCCCATCCATCCATCCACCCATCCATCCTTTCTTCCCTTTTTCTTTTCCTTTCTTTCTTTCTTATTTAAATTTTGAAGCTGGTTCTTGCTAAACTGCTAAGTTACCCAAGCTGTGCTTGAACTTGTGATCCTCCTGTTTCAGCCTCCTAGAATGCTGGCACTATAGGCATGTGCCATCACATCTGGTTTCTAACTGTAATTTTTTTCTGTGATTTAATTCAATGCAAAAAATGTAAAAGGGCCAGGATTGGCGGCACACACCTGTAATCCCAGTTACTCAGAAGGCTGAAGCAGGAAGATCACAAATTCAAGCCCAACCTGAGCAACACAGCGAGGCCTTGTATCAAAAACTAAAAAGGGCCAAAAAAAAAAAAACAAAACTAAAAAGGGCTGGGGTGTAGCTCAGTGGTAGAGCACTTGCCTAGCATATGCAAGGCCCTGGGTTCCAACCCAATACCATACATACACACACACACACACACACACACACACACGCACACACAAATGGAAAAAAACTTTAAAAAGATGCGAAAGGTCCACACCAGGGTGCTGTCATCAGGCTCCACTCCCCCAGAGGGCTGGAGGAGGGGCAGCTGGGCTCACTCCCCAGCACTACAACATCACCAGAAAGAAGCACTGCTCTCCAGGAGCCCCTCAGGGTTTGGCCAAAACCCGAGGACCCAGATGGTGGCGAGCCCCACCCCTCCGACCCAGCCCTGTGGGGCAGTCTGTTCAGGGCACCTACCTGCGAGCGCTTGCTGGACCTTGCTGGGCTTTGACATCTGCACGGGCACAGTGGCAGGAACGATCCCAAGGCTGCTGGAGGGACCGCTGGGGAGGGAGGCACTTGGGGAGAGAAGAAAGCAGAGCTGAGTGTGCGGTGCTATCTCCGAGGGAGCAGGACTGGGGCTGAACAGAGAGCTGCTAGGCTTTGCCGTGTCCACTTTCCCCCGCCCCTGGGTGAAGGAGACCCTGTTCTGTTTTCAGGGGGACTTGAGACTCTCAGGGCAATCCCAGAGGAGGAGCTCACTAGCTTCATTAACACATGAGGCCCTCAGGGCTCCTGTGCAGAGGGGAAACCAGCAGAGGGCCCTTCTTAATGAGCCATACTGACTAGGGACAGGGCAAGTCCGTATCAGGAACTCTGACGCGATGCTCCCAGAAGGATCTAACAGCATTTCCATGGGATTCCTGCCAAAACTGTACCATCTCGTTCAAATCATAGGAAACTATCAAACAAACCCAGATGAAGGACACTAGACAAAGCATCTCTTCAGGGTGGCAAGGGTATGAAAGATGAAGTGACTAGACTGGTGCCAAGAGAACAGGAAGAATGACAAGTGTTGCAAAGTGGGACCCTGCAGAGGGTCCAGGGACACAAGGGGGCAGGTGTGGAGAACTGGAGAAAAATTGGAAAAAAAAAAAAAAAAAAGCCTTGAGTTTAGTTCATACTGTCACACCACCAGTACTTAATTAATTTCCTTAGAGGGCAGTGCGGCCAGGGTGTGCTCATCCCCAGCACTGCAGAAACCATGGACATTGCCACCTCAAAACCCTGCACCATCTTTTGCCTAGAAGACAAGGAGTGAGGGAGACATAGAAACTTCCGTACTATTTTTGTAACTCTCCCATAAACCTAAGATTGGTACAAAGGAAAAGAATTGTTCTTGACATTTTAAGTAACGAGGGCTCTGGGGCCAGAGCTATAGTTTGATGACAGCACTTGCCCAGCACATGGAAGGTCCTAGGTCCAATCTCCAACATCACAAAAATAAAATTTATTTTTTAAAATGAAGGTTTTGATTCCCACAGCAACTATATTCAGTTGAGCTCCGCTTTGAGAACCCTTAGCAGAGGAGGCCTGAGTTCCTGCCAGCGGTTCCTCCTTCCAATTCCTGGGTCCTCTGCCTGAGATGATGAAATATGAAGGTTATGAAACCCTCCCACATGGTCACCACGCTGGGCTCCTCAGCAGAGGGCCTTTGTTTCTAACCCAGAGCAGGCCTGCTGCTCAGCCAATAGGGACTGGCCCCACTCAGCGACCCTGCCAGCTGCCAGCAAAGCAGCCACTGCCTCTTGGGCCGCCCTGGGTCCTGCCCCACCCTCGGTCACAGTTACAATCCTGTGCCCAGGTACTACAAGGAGCAAGCCGACCTCATTCGAACCAGGAACCCTCACACTCAGCCACAGCTGAGGGCACCAGGGGCTCCTATGGGGTCTGGAGTAGGACAGGTTCTCTGGTATTTGCCTGAGTGAAGAAAGGTTTTGTTCAAAATTTATTTTTCCCCCTTCGGTACGGAGGATGGAACTCAGGACCTGGCGCTCGCAAGGCGGGGGCAGCGCCACTGAGCTAAATCCCTGGCCCTTTGTTCGAATTTCTTGGGAACGTTCTTCCCAAACAAGATAGCCCATGTGGCTGGACTAGCAGATGAGCAGCTTCCTGCCCTCCTTAGCTACTCTCAGCCCAAAGAGAAAGGCAGATATGGACCTACACTTGCCTGGTAATGCGGAGAAGGCTGGGAGCTGGATACCTGGGCTGTCTTGGTTCCACTGAACTGTGTCATTAGGGGCAAGCCCCACTTCTTCCTGCACCTGTTCCAACTTTTTTTTTTAGTACTGAGGATAGAACCAAGGTCACCACTGTGAACTATATCTCCAGCCCTTTTTATTTTCATTTTTCAGACAGGGTCTTATGAAATTGCTAAATTGCCCATGCTGATTGAACTTGCCAGCCTCCTGCCTCAGCCTCCCAGAATGCTGGGATTATAGGAGTGCACCACCACATGTGGCTTAACTTTTTCTTCTCATGCCCCTGATAGCCTTTGTGAGTGACTCAGAGGTATCATAATTGAACCTACTCATGACTCCATCTCAGGCCTCCCAGGCAAACCCTCAGGGAGCACTGAGCTTCAGCCCTTAGCTAGCAGGCCAGAAAACTGAAGCTTCTCTCAGCAACTCCACAAAATGAGCAAGGATGTGGTAGGCTGGGGGGAGGGGAGGGATAAGCCCATGGTTTCCCCCAAGAGATTGGGTCCCTGGTGGCTCCTCCCCACAGAACACCCAGGAAATGGAATCCTCCCTCCCAGAAAATGGGGGAGGCCTGACTTGAGGGTCTGTCACCAAGGGCTGGAGCACAAAGCAGCTCACAGTGAGGCTTCCAACAGGAAGCCCCCCACGGCCCCAGCTGTCCACCCCCACCAGGTCCACCTTCTGTAGAAAACCCTCCAACATCACTACTGCCCCGTATCACTCTCCAGTCCCTCCTCATCTGTGTCTCTGCTGTGGTGAGCCGGAACCAAGCCTTACCAAGATACAGCAGTTCCCAAGATGGGAACTCAGAAGACAACCTCAGGGCTCTTTGATCCCTGCCACCATCCTCAGAGGGCTCACACTCAGACTGCTCCCCAAAGTGGGGGACCCTTCTAAGTGCCCTTCTCTGAGAGTCCCTCTAGTCCTTGCTTGTGCCCCGCCCCCCATTCCTGGTCTTTCTACTAGGCCCTCCCTGGCTTTGCTGTGGGGACCACCTCCGAATAGAGCCAAGCACACAAAACTTGGGAACTTTTTAGTGTTTGAGGTAGACAGGATCTGACAGTCATAGGCAAGTGGCAGATGAGGAGGCTCTCCAGAGAGGAAGGAGATCCAAAGTGTCTACCCCACCCAATTCCCCTGAGATGTGGGCCACAGTCAGCACCAACTCAGGACACTGATGACATGTATAGCATGAGGACCCACGCTGTGAGGTTCCAGATCCCCCAGTCCTGGCACCCAATCAATCCCCATCTTGAGCTTCAATTTCCCTATAGCATCAAAATAATCCCAGAAGGTCCCAGAGCAGTAGAGGTTCAATCTGAAGCCCAGGATAAATGCCCCAGGCTCCCCAGATCTCTGAAGGGCAGAGGGAACAAAGGTAGGCTTTTAAATCCTGCAGTCAGAGCAAAGGGAAACCCAGAAACTGACCAGTCCAACAATCCCTTAATCACGAGAGGTAAACAACGTTGGTAAGGATCAGGGCTGATCCATGGGCCCACAGCAAGTTGCTGCCAGGCCCCACCTAAACCCGTGATTCTAATCACACAGCCAAGACAGCCACGGCCAGATCCCCTGGCCAGCAGCAGCAGGAAGTAGTCCTCTCAGAGGCCAGGACAGCAGTGCAAGGCCACCACAGATGCAAGTAGGGCCATTTGGAGAACACAGAAGTGACAGGCTGAACCACAGCCCTGACTTTCAAAGCTGTTGGTCATGATCACCACCCAAGTCATCCAAATGCTATGTGAGGTGTGTCACACCTGCTATTACAGACAGGAGTGTGCATGACATGCTTTGCAAAGTTTTCCACCCGATATCAGAACAGAAGTTTTGGTCCTTAAAGGGATAAACTTCAGCTACGAGGCAAACTTAAAGCCAGCAGCTCAGTTACAGATGATACAGCTTGTCATGTATTACTGCACATCCCCAGGGGGCACAAGGAAATCACAAAGCCAGTTTCTGCCAAAGCCTGGGATGTCATCAGCTCACATAGCAGCTCCTGTCGTCAGTGGCAGCAGGTGGTTCTCACTGCCCTACCCGGTCTGCTACCTCTCCCCCTCATCCTTCTTTCCACCAGATGCTGTAGGTATTCACATGGCTTTAAGAAGCTGACTGCAGCCCTAGGGAGAACAAGGTGCCAGGAGTTCTCAGTTCTCCCAGCACCACTGGGGTAAGAGGTCAGGTGACAATGAAGCCCCTCTGGCTTTGGAGCCTGGCAGAGGAGGGTGACTGAGGAGCACGGGCCAAGCTACAGATCAGGCCTGGGAAACACCTGTTTCAAAGCCTGGATAGGCCCATGCAAGTAAAATGATAATTCCTCCCAGCCCCAGGAAAGTGGGCGAAACAGGTAGGGTTCCACACCCACCCTGGGAGGCAGGCTGCCTTGAGGCCGTGTCAACTAACACAGCCAACTGGCCTGGTTCCCCCAGCTCCCAATGCAGGGCAAGCAGCAGCTCGAAAGGCTGCTGGCACCAGGCTGAACCATCGCCAGCCCAGTAGGCACCTTTCTAACACTGACCTGGCCTGTGGCAGTAGAGCCCAGTCAGTGTCTGCAGGTCTCAGGTGAGAGGGGTAGAGCCTGACAAATTATTAGGGGATACCAATGGGCATCCTGGGTCAGAGGGAGCCAAGCCTCACTGATTCAACTCCAGAATCCTAGTTATAGCACTGTTTAACAGTTGGTCTCAAAATAATTTATAAGACCACGGGGGGGGGGGGTGCATGCCTGTAATTCCAGCACTCAGGAGGCTGAAGCAGGATTGATGCAAACTCAAGTTCAGCTTGAACTATGCAGTGAGACCCTGTCTCAAAAAACAAACAAAAAGGCTGGGTGTGGTGGTGCACACTGTGATCCCAGCACTTGGAAGGCTGAGGCAGGAGGATTGCAGCAAGTTCGAGGCCAGCCTAGGCTACATAATGAGTTCAAGCCCTGTCTGAACTGCAAGACTCTGTCTCAAAAAAACAAAACAAAACAAATCAATCAATCAATCAATCAAAGAATAATAATTAGTAAGAATTTAAGGCTAGGTGCAGTTCAGCACCATCCTGGGCAATTTAGGGAGACCATTCTCAAAATAAAAATAAACAAGGGCTAGAGATGGTGCCCCCATGGTAGAGCACATACCTGAGTTCAATTCCCAGTGCTGAGCTGGCAGACAGAACACACTGGCTCCCTGACTCACATGGGGGTGAGGGATCTTGGAACCCTACTTGCTCAGGTCCATGTAAAAGTCCACAGAGGGCCCACTGACACCTTCATGGGCTCCCAATTCCCAGAATATTTCCAATACATGCTCCTACTCTGGAAGAAGTTGCCCTGAAAAACCCTGACAGACCCAAGGCCCACTCACTTCCACGTCTACCAGGCCCCTCCTCATTCACTGCCCCAGTGCCTCTGCTCCCTCCTCATTCCACCTTCACAACAGCTTAAGGCCTCTCCATGTGTTCCACATGCCTTACTCTTGGGGGCTGGGTTTACTCCTACTTCTGCCACTTTCTGGCAGTGTGGCCAACCTCACAAGCCCCTATGTACCCTTCCATAAACAGAGGATGGCACCTACCTTAATGCCTCTGTGAGGACCAATGAAATCACTCACACAGCATCGCATGTAACAGAGTACCTGTCACACAGTGTGCCCTACAGAAGCTCACAGCCTCCTTGGAAACTCTTCTGAAGAGGTCTAGATGCTCAAGAGGCCACCCACAAGGTCACTGTCACCTTGGGAAGCTTCAGGTTTCATGGTGACAAAGCAGCATGGAGAGGGGTGGTGACAAGGTGGCATCAACATGATGACTGGCCATCAGTCCAGATCACAAAATGCTCTCCTCCCTGGAGACCAGGGTAGCTGCAGGCCCATGTGTTTCGTCATCACCCACCCAGGCCACTTGTCCCCAGAATGCAGCCCCCACCCCCATCACTCCCAACTCCCGGAAGCTCTCATGAGGACAAGGGGCCCCACCAGCCTGCCCAGCCATATCATGGGTGGGCCAAGGCCAGCTGACTCTCTCATGTTAAAGTGCAACCTGGTCTGGACCAGATCTAGGATTTCATCCTCCCTGACCAGGGGCTGAGAGCACCACAGGACACTCTGGGGGGACTCTACCAGCCTGCAGGTGAGGTCACCCCTGCCACCTTCTGCTGTTGGTATCCTGGCTCCCAGCTCGCCTCTGAATTAAGACTGTGGTTCACAGAACCATGTTCAGTGCCTATCCCACAGCAAGAAGCAATACACACATAGTTCCCCAGAATGTTCAAGCTTGGCACTTGCCACGCAGTACACAAGGACAGGTAAAAGGGCTATAATTTGGCTCCACAGAGCCCTATGTTCCTGAGTGCAAGGTCTGATAGGTGGTGACTAGCAAAACTAGGATCAGAGGTCAGAGAGCTCCATGGGACAACAGGGTTGTGGCACAACCAAATGAGAGGCAGCAGGGACAACCGAGGGTGTAGGTACAAATCTGCAGGTACCTGGGTGAGTCCTCCCAGGTAAGTAAAAGCAGAAGCCCACCCTGCTACCAGGGATTGTGGAGTGGACACAATGACAAGCAATAACACGAGATACCTGGCTCCACCGGAAGTGGACGGTCCAGGGACCAGGAGCTGTGGTCCCAGGTGGGACAGGCTGGAGCGGAAGAAGGGCTGGCTCCCCAGGGCGGAAGGGGCCCCACCCCAGGGGTTGGTGGCATTGAGCCTCGGTGCAGATCTGGCCCCAGAGAGCGAAGGTTTGTTGTATGGGGCAAAGGCCTGGTGAGCCCCAAAGACGACGGCAGTCCTGTGGGAGGCTTGGGGGATGGGGTATGCAGGAAGGTTGGTCATGGAGTGGCGGTAGCGGCCTGACACAGGGCCAGTTCCACTGCCATGGAGGCACTGTTGGCAAGAGCAGGCGACTCCCAAGTGGCCTGGTGGAGCGATGACAGTGGTCACTGGGTAAGGTGGCCCTACTTGGCGCCGCACGTTCCGGCAAAAGCTGGAAGTCTTGTTGGTTTGCGTGTGGGTGGCATAGTTGACAGTGTAGTTGTACCCCAGGGGAGCCAAGTCCACAAGCTGGATGCCCCTGGCCATCTGCTGCTCCAGATAGTCACAGACACTGGCTTCATAGGCCGTCCAAGAGCCGTCATCGCCCAGCCACTCCCAGGTGATACCCTGGCCTGGGGCTGAATGCTGCGGGAACAGGTGTCTACGCACAGCCCGCATGGTACCTGTTTAAAAGGAGCAGCACACATAAATAAACTGTGAATTTATTAGCCACACAGACCCCAATTTCTTTTCTTTTGGTACCAGGGATCCAACTTGGGTCCTTGCGCTGTGCAGCAGGTGGCAAAACCACTGAGCCAAATCCCTGGCCCCAGACCCCAGTTTCTTTTTTGGCAGTACTGGGGATTGAACCCAAGGTCTTTGCACTGAGGTATATTGTTATGGTTTGGGTCTAGATGTCCCCCAAAAGCCTCATGTGATCATAGGCTTGATCTCAAGTGTACGAAGCTGGAATTAATTCATGATGCAATGGTAGGCTCAAGGGCACTAGGATTAAGGGTGTGACTGCTACCTGCCCTAAGTAGCCCGAATAAGATAAAAGAGGCAGGGAGGTGCTGCTGACTTGTTACCTTTGCTGCCTTGTGTGTACCATGTTGTTTCTACTCTGCCATGCCTGTTTTTGGTCCCTGCCTTGAAGTTGGCTGATTATGGACTGAAGCCTCTACGAACTGTAAGCCAAATAAACCCCTTCCCCTTTAACTTTGGGAAACTGGTATTTTGTTTCAGCAAGAGAGAAAAGTAATTAACACATGTATCTTCAGTCCTCTCTTCTTCCCCCCAACCTTTTAAATTTTGCAACAATCTTGCTAAACCACTAGGTTGTAGAGCTCAAACTTGCCATCCTCCTGCCTAGGCCTCCCAGAGTGCTAGAATGCACCACCATGCTGCCCCCCCCCCCCCCCCGTCACCCAGGTCCTGAGGATGAACCCAGGATCTCCACACTGAGGTAAAGCGTCACCCCTTTTTTATTTTATGGAAAAGGGTCTTGTGAAGTTGCCAGTTAGACTTGAACTCATGATCCTCCTGCCTCAACTCAACCTCCCACAGTGCTGGAGTTACAGATGTCCACCCCTAAACCCGGCAAAAAAACCTTTTTCAAACAACCAAACCAAGCCTAATTATTGCTATAGGTATCCTGTCATGCTGCTCTTTGACCAAAAAGCTGGCATTAGCTATTTTTTCAGATTTAGGGGTACAGCACAGAGACTCTAGTCTCTAGCCAAAGAAACCAGGGCCCCAAAGGATTAAGTGGCATTTGCACTCCTTGGCAGGAGGTGCTGGAAACTTAAGTCATATGATATGCCTTGGACTTGATGAGGCTTTCTGAAATAATATTTTCTTCTTTTTGGTGCTGGGGATAGGATTCTGGATCTCATCTATCTAAGCACACGCACTACCACTGAGCTACACTCCCAGTGCTTAAAATATTCATAATAATTTATTAGCATGCATGAGGCCCTAGTTTCAATCCCTAGCATGGAAACACACAAACAATTTCTAATGATGAAACCTCTACATGCCACTTCTAAAAAACTGAAAACAAAAGTATAAAGAAGATGAGTGTGATGGCACACACCTGTAATCCCAGCACTCTGGGAGGTTGAGGTAGGAGGACTGTAAATTCAAGCCAAGCCCGGGCAACTAAGTGACTTAGCAAGGCAAGATCTAAAATAAAAAAATAAAAAAGGGCTAGCTAGGGTTGTAACTCAGGGCAAACCCTGGGTTCAACTTCAGCAACACCCTTCCAATATACATATCAATATACATATAAACAAAATTGACGAGTTTGATCCCTGGTACCAAAAAAAAAGAAAAAGAAAATTGAATCACTTCTAGTTCAAGCACCAAGGGGAAAATACACAGTTGATATCACAATGTATTTCTACCTGTGGGGCCTTCTAGGCACATGTGTGTACTCAAGTAGCCGACAACCACACTGAAAACAGTTCCTACTATTTCCACATATTATGCCATAAGTATTTCCAGTCTCAAACTTTGTATATCTCTATTGTTAAGTAATTCTCTTATGCCATTCTATCTGTCCTATCCCAGTGACCTGGCCGCCTGAGCTCAGACTTCAGGTTGACCCCTGGCATGCATAATGCTGCATCCCTGAGGACCACTTCTGCTAGCCCTGTGTTGCTGATCCTATCTGCTGTCTTCCTTGGTGCCTGCATCCCAGGGACCCTCACGTGCAGCCACCCCACTAGGAGCCCCGGTGTAGCACAAACCAGGGTACTGCTGACAGAGATCCTGGCAGGGATCTCCACGGTTTCCACTAGTGACTTTCTGGGCCAATAATTCTTGTTGTAAAAAACAAAACAAAACAAAACAAAACAAAAATTTCTTGTTGTAAGGCCTGTTCTGTGCACTAGAAGATACCTAGAAGCATCCCTGGCCTCTACCCACTAGCTGACAGGGTCTTCCCCCTATAAGTACCTCCAAACACTACCAAATGTCTCTGGGGACCAAAAATCACCCAATTGAAAGCCACCAGAGGGGGGAAGGACAGAGCCAAGAGAAGTTGGTGGCCTCATTCTGTTAATACCAATCAAAACACATTATAGATTAAAAACACACAAATGCTCAGAGGAACAAGGAGTGAGGTAACCTCGAGGGTCACACGGCTGACCATGGAGTGTCAGATCCTGTCAACCACCACACTGCACAACATCCTTGCCAGTCTGCCTGCCTTGACCCTCAAATCCCTGCCAGTTGGGGCAGGCCTTTTAGGTTGGGACAGGGGGGAAAGGCCAGGAGGGCCTCTGTCATGTGCTCTATAGCATCCTCTTCTATTGCAAGGTACACTTTACTTGGGTGGCAGCAGCTGTTCTCACAGCGTCTGTCTCTTGGCTGTGCCCATTTCCAAAGCAGGAAAGAAGCTACGCAAGTCACCCCCACAACCCCAGCACCCAGCGCAGACTCAGCCCAAAGCAGGAGCGACTTACCAGTGTCCTGGCGGAACTGGGTCCAGCTGGGGAGGTCAATGATGTATGGGGCCAGCGAGGGGTCAGCCTGGCCTAAGGGGATGCTGTGCGCCAGGCTGCCCAGCCCGAAGCGCTGGCCCTTCTGCTGGACAAACTGCTGCTCAATGTAGCTGCACACAGTGGCACTATAGGGGTGCCAGGTGCTCAGCCCATCCTGCCATTCCCACACAGCCACTGCCACAGGGCTAGGGTACACCTGCGCCAGGGAAGGGACTGGGGCCATGGCCATCTTCCCCAGGACTCTCTCCGCTTGCCCAGACGGCTTCACACTACTCTTGACCGCAGGCTTGGGTTCATCGCCCGAGGCCTCCTGTAGACCTGGAAACAAGACCAACACAGCAGTTACTGAGCAGATTGAGGCCCTGGCATACAGCCTCAGAGGAGGGGAAATTAAAACCCAGCTTTTCCTAACACCTTTTGAGCATTATGAACCAGGTCGAGGATCCCAGCTCTTTGCTCTGACATCCAGGAAGAATTCCAAGGGAGGCCTGCAGCTCCCCTGCCTCTGCAAGTGTTCAGGAAGATGCAGCAGGGTGGATCTGGGATGCTAACCATTAGCCCAGCTTCTATCTATCCCAGTGCCAATGACTCCCCTCCAACCCAACTATTTCCTTTATCCTTTCATACTGTCTGTTCTGTTGTCCTCCAAATCCCTGTGTGGGTAAGGTGACCCTTATTCCCACACAAGGAGTCCAAGTTCCCAGCACCAGTTTGTGAGCTGCAGATTAATACCTGCTGTGCACAGATGAAGAGACAGTATGTCAGGGGGGACCAGGGCTTTTGGGACCCGAAGGGGCAGTGGCACAGCTGGGACTCTAAGCACAGGTTCTGTTCCTCCACAAGTCCAGGCTACCCTAGCAGCATAGCTGACCACAAAGGAGGCCCAGTATTGACATTAGATGCCCCTTTAAAGCTGGGCATGGTGGCACACACCTATAATCCCAGAACTCAGGAGGCTGAAGCAGGAAGATGGCAACTTTGAGCTTAGCCTGGGCAATTTATCAAGACCCTCTCTGCTGGGCGTGATGATGCATGCCCCTTAATCCTAGTACTTGGGAGCCTGGGGCAAGGGGATTGCTGCACGTTTGAGGGCAGCCTGGGCTATATAGTGAGTTCCAGGCCAGCCTGAACTACATAGTGAGACCCTGTCAAAAAAGAAAAAAAAAAGCAGCAGCAGTGGCAGTAGCCCTCTCCCTCTCCTTTCCAGACCTCTACTATGTACATGCATGTGTGACACACATGGGTGTGAAGCCAGGCCCTGCCTTCCCGCCCCGTGAGATGGTAGCAGCCCAGCCAGCCTGCCCATTTACAGCTATGTGACTGGTGCCCAGCAGCAGCCAGGCTGGCGTGTGATCAGTGTCCTAGTCACGCTGGCTCAGAACACAGCTGGGTGGCCATGGGTGATGACACCATAACCTGCGGGCAGCCAGCCCGGCCACTGGAGGTCTGCCAGCCCACCATCACGCGGAAGCCCTGGAGCACAGACTCCTGGAGTGCGAGAACAGGGTCAGACTTACTGACAAACACCAAACATGCTCATCTGCTCCAAGCTTCGCACACTAACAAGGTGGGCATTTCTCCCACCTTAGGACAGGAAACCAAGGCTCAATAAGATGAAGGGACTCACTCAAGGTCACACATGAGCCAGGTGTGGTGGTGCACACCTGTAATACCAGCACTTGGGAGGCTGAGGCAGGAGGATCATCGCAAGTTCTAGGCCAACCTGGGCTACATAGTGAGTTCATCGGCAGCCTCAACTACATGGTGAGACCCTGTCTCAAAAAAAAAAAAAGGTCACACATCCACTACTACTAAGTGGTCACGCAGAGCGCAAATGTAGGTTAAATGGCTCTCAGGCCCATGTGCTCTGGCAGACTCAGAAAAGTTGAGCGTGGGGTGCATGCCTAGAATCCCACCACTTGGAAGGCTGAGGCAGGAGGATTGAAAGTTCAAGGTCAGCCTGGACTATGCAGTAAGATCCTGTCTAAAGGGGAAGGGGAGTGCTCAGCCTGAACTCTGTCTCAGGCTCCTGTTTAAAGAGGAAGAGGAAGAGAGGCTCACATCCAAGCAGTCACAGCTTTCCCATGCAGGACACCGAGCCAATCAGGACCCTGTTACACAATCACAATGACTTGCTCATAGGCTTGTGGCCAGCAACAAGGCTTCCACTGCTGTCCAGAGACTGCAGTGCCTATGAGGCTTCAATGAGGAGGCCACGGCCATGGCCCTAGAAGGGAGGAGAGTCTGGAGCAGCCAAGGAGAAGAGGAGGTGAGGGCCTGGTGCTGACATGCTTCATACTCACCGCGCCATCTTGACAAGGGTGCCCAGGCTCTCCCAGCTTACTTGCTTTCATTTGAAAGTGAAGACATCAACCTTTATCCTAAGTGCTTTCCATGCAGACAGCAACCACACAGCCCCAGCCCACCACAGCCAGCCAGAAGTCCTGGCCTCCCTTTCCCTGTCTCGTATCCATCCACCACTCCAGTCTGGGTGAGGGGTGGTGGCACAGGGTGCTAATGAGGACACCACAGGCAAACACAGGAGGTGCATCAGGTCTGCTGTGGCCTGCCAAGGCCTCCAAAAGCACCCAGAGCTGCCCAGGATGAGGCGTGGGTGCGCAGGGACGGCTGGCTTAGCTCAGCGCCAGCAATCAGCAGTCTCTGTAACCACATCGAGGTACAACACAGAGGCCTGGTTTCTGGGCCAATCCTCCTGAGGTGCTGCTCGCCTCTCAGACAGCTGAGGCCTCGAGTACTGTCACCCATCACCAGGTGAACCAACTCCAGAACCCTGTGAAGCAGCCTGGGACACACTCAAGCACTTTGGTACCGGGGATAGAACTTGGGTCCTTGCGCTTGCACAGCAGGCGGTGAAACCACTGAGCTAAATCCCCGGCCAACTCAAGCATTTTGGCTCAAGCTTTCCATGAAGGTATGAGCCCCACAGCCCAGAGTACAGCAGGTCCAGACCCCATGGGAGGACTGGAGACCCAAGAAGAGAGTGACAACAATGTCAGATGGTGTGGTGGCCAGCAGTCCTTTCCAGGTGCTTGCTGTCCCATTCAAAGACTTGGACAGGACAAATGATGAACGCAAACATTTAACGTTTACTTAAGGCAAAAGAAGAAGAAAAAGAAACACAAAAGTGCTCAAGAAAAAAAGGTGCTCTGAAGGAAAAGAGACGATAGTGGGCTAGTGAAAAGGATCACAGCGCCACAAGTTAATGACCACTACCTTCATCACCCATTCCAATGTCAGATCCAGGCTGTCCTATCAAAGACCTGCTTGGGCTGGGGATTTCGTGCAGTGGCACCTAACCTGCCTCGCAAGGGCAAGGTCCTGAGTTCGATCTCCAGTACAGAAAAAAAACAGAATACCTATCAAAGACCCACTTCTGGCACAAGATCAAGCAGGTAGAGGACAGCCTAGCTCTCATGTCAGAATAGGGGATATAAAAGATAGTGATATACGCCTGTAATCCCAGCACTCAGGAGGCTGAGGCAGGAGGACTGCTGCAAGTTTGAGACCCGCCTGGACTATGCAGTGAGTTCAAGGCCAACCTACAATATACAGCAAAACTCTGTTTAAAAAAAAAAGTGGAAATGGGGAAAAAATAAGAACCAAGATGCATTATGTAAAGGTACAATTCCCAATGAGAAATGTAATTGTGTTGTATACCTAAAATGTAGCAATAAAAGAATTTAACAAAACAAAACAAAAAATGGGGCCCGAGATTTAGCTCAGTGGCACTGAGCCTGCCTTGCAAGCACTAGGTCCTGAGTTCGATCCCCAGTACCAAAAAAAATTAAAACACAAGCGCAAGGACCTGAGTTCGATCCCTGGTACAAAAAAAAAAAAAAAATTAAAACAAAACAAAAAAGAAGTGTTCCTTCAGAGCACTTTTTCTTCTTGAGCATTTCTTTTTCTTCTTTTTGCCCTAAGTAAACATTTAACTTCCACATCCACTGACTGTCCTGGCCAATCCTTTGAAAGGGATAACAAAAACCTAGAAAGGACCTCTGGTCACTCCAATACTCAGTAACAAGAAAGCACACAAACCCTCACGACAGCCCATCTCCACCAACACCAAGCCCCTTTCCCTCTGGTACCTGGCAAGTCCCAGGCCTTTCCAAGCAATTTCCTACCCAACCTGAGCCACTGATGCCGAGGTGCCAAGTCCAGGCTTCATCTTCCTTCCATACCAGCCCCAAGCACACACGCACGCCCACCCATCCAGATGCAGCCAGGACATCTTCCTCCCGAGCCCCCTAGCCAACATGGGAAACTCCACCATGTCACTTCACTAGAAGCCACATTCATCCTGGGCCACCCACTGTATGCACTGGATTTAGTCCCCACTGGACCAGGGACTCCCTGAAGGCAGAGCTGGGGCTCACACCAAGCTGGAGCTGCGGCCCTTCAAATGCCCAGCATCACAGGGGAGGACAGGAGAAGGGGCGAAGGCCCTTTGGGGCAGAGGCTGGGCACGCTCACTGGCCAGCCACCCAGCGATTACGCCACCCCAAGTCAGGGAATCCACTCTCGACACCAGCCTCGGCTGCAGCTCCAAGACCTAATTTGTTTCAGCACCTAATGATGGGGGCCATTTATAGTGTTCTTAATTATGAAAATTATTATTATAATTGGAGGCAAGTTAAACACTCTACAATATGGGAATTCTGTGGGGTTTCTTTGGTTTGGTTTGGTTTTGCTAGGGGTGGAACCCAGTACCTCATATATGCTATATACACACTCCACTACTGAGTTACACACCCCAGCTCCAATACGTCTTTTTCCTTGTTTTCTGGTGACAAAGTCTGACTACATAACCCAGGCTGGCATTAAACTCATGATCCTCTTGCCTTAGCCCACAAATGCTGAGATTACAGATGTACATGTGTTTTGTTTCTTTGTTTTCATGGTACTGGGGATTGAACCCACAGCCTTTATCCCAGGTTTTCCTTTTGTTGTTGTTGTTATTGTTTTTTGAGACAGGGTCATACTATGCAGTTCAGGATGGCCTTGAACTTGTGGTGATCCTCCCACCTCAGCCTCCCCAGTGCTGGAATTATAGGCCTGCACCATCATGACCAGTCTTTTTTTTTTTTGAGATAAGATTGGTAAATTGCCCTGTCTGGACTCAAATTTTCAATCCTCTTGCCTCAGCATCCCAGAGTTCTGGAATGACCAGTATGCATCTCCATGCCTGGATATAATATGGGATTTTTTTTCTTTTTTTTTGAAACAGTGCCTTGCTATGTAGTTCAGATTGGCCTGAAACTCACGGTGATCCTCCTGCCTCAGCCTCCAAAATCCTA